CGAGGAGCTACATCACGCAGTTGGTGGACGACCTAAAATCACATGGGTTGACAGAACATCCAGAGCCTGCTACATCGGCGGTTGCAGCTACCCTTGATCAGCAACTGGAAGAGCTCTTCTCCTCCTACTTTATCGGAGAGAAGTATATCGAGCGCGAAAAGAAGAACCTGGAGGAATTGTACTCCTCGCTATTGCTCAAGTTTACAATCTATCACTCGCGACGCAGCAAGATGCCCACCTCATACTTCGGATCGCTGGCCCAGCGAGGTAAGGAGTTGGCTGCATCCGCTCGTGACAAGTATATGGAACGCCTTGAAAGTACCGAGCTGCCCGCTAGTCAAAAAGCAACGCTGCTCCGCATTGCTGGCTTGAAAGAAGACCAACAAGAGAAGAAAGACATCGAGGTGACGGATGAAGATGGCAGGCTATCGCTACCAGTCGCTAAGCGTATGCTCAAGTGGCTGGCAGAAGGTGTTGGGCGTGGACTTGAGCTGTCGCCTGGTAATGAGACGCCGAAGGACGTGCAAATACTACTGAACCTACTGCTACGGCAGATGGGCGAGATCTATCTGGAGACGGCACTAGACGCGTAAGTCATACCTGCTTGAATTGCGCATCCTTACTAACACCAAAACAGTGCACAAGACCATGCCGTTTCTCAAGAGAACTCCAAGACAGCTCCTGATCTCGCCCACTTCCCGTCGCTACACGCCATCACCACAATTCTACATCTTCTCCAACAAACCACTACAACCATCGTCCTCCCCCTTTGCACACCCAATCTCACCATACGCCGCGACATCGAAAAGTCCGCGAATAGCACAACGTCGACCCTTGAATCCAAACTATCCAACATCCTCAATCTCACACTCACAGCATCTCTCAACTGGGTGAGCAGGTGTCTGTCTCAACAAAAGAAGACCGACTTCCGACCCAAAGAAGACGATCTGATGGTCACAACCGAAACACAAGCTTGTCGCGACGTCTCCGCGTTCCTAACCCGCGTCGCCTCTCAAGCCTCCGCCGCCCTCTCCGGCCGCAACCTTTCCCTTTTCCTCGCTGAACTCGCTCGCGGTCTGCGATCCCTCGTTCTATCTCACCTCCTCAAGTTCACCATCTCACAAGTCGGTGGTCTCAGTGTATCCAAAGACATGAACCGCTATGTTGAGCTCGTGAGAGCATGGCCTACGGGCGATGAACTGGAACCGGGTGCCATGGATGTGTTGACGGATGTCAGTACGTTGTTCATTATTGGACCGGAGGCGTTGAGGGATAGGCTTAGGGCTGCGGGTGGACAGGATGCGCAGGAGCTGAAGGGCTTCATTGCTAGGAGAGATGATGTTGGAACTGTGGGGGTGCAGAGTGTGCTTAGTGGTTTGTAAAGATTCAACGTTCATATAAGCTTGCGGAGCTATGAATACATTACCAGTACATTGAAATTGTCCACGAAATACACAGCGAACGTCATTCTGAACATGCGCCACGGACTTTTCTGGACATCAACCAATCATGTTGAAGCCAGGATCCGGACGCCATGCACAGCCAAGCAACAAAACTCATGCAGGGTCCGGGTATCGCGGGTCTGAATGTTAACAGTCGAGTTGGTAACTCAGGCCTAGAGGTCTAGATGTTTGGAGAGAGTGGTTCGGCGCATGTCATTAGTACTTAGCGGGGAGGAAGTGACGTCCAAGGTGAGATGCCGCACTGCACACCATATAGTGTATAAGAGGAAGTAACGACCCATAAACTTAGCTATCACGAAATCATCATCATCATCAACCATCACCTCTCAACGGCCGTTCCTTCTACATCCGAATACATCTTCCCAAACACCCTCAACGCACCCATCCAACCGCAACCATTTGTATCACAAGCGCCCTCGTGGCGTTGCTCGCCTGCTTTAGCGGCAAATCGTCATCGCACTCACGTTCACGCTCACAATCGCACTCATCGAAGTCGAGATCGAAGTCCAGGCAGAGACGAAGTTCAAGCAAGCGCTCTACGCGTTCTGGGCATCCACATAGGAGTTCGAGAGATTATCCGCATCGTTCGCACGCTCCGAGGCGCGTTTACTAGGTGGCTTGTCTTTCGGGGGTTGGGGGATGGGCGGGGAATGTTGGATGATGGGACGGAGGGGCGGGTATGGTGTGTAGAGTTTGTATGTGTTGGATTTTGGATATATCAGAGTGAGATTTTAGGTGATAGCACCTGGGCAGTGGAGGGGGCAGGGTCGTGTGAGAGGAAGCAGAATTGCGGGTGCAGGTAAACATGGCAGCATGATCAGAAGAGCACATGGACAAGTACAAAGGTTTTGCAGAAGAGAACCCCCAAGTGGTACTTCATTACCCATCGGGAGTGCTTGGGCTTAGAGGAGGGCGGTGGTAATGTCATGGGGAACTATGAAAGATTCAAAGTTTACCTTTACCTTCACCTTCATATATGCTGCGCATCTACCACCACTTACCAAACACTAGCGCGAGTACCGAGCACTAGCCGACTATAAACTGGCCTTGTCGTCGATGTCAACTTCCACGACTCTCTAACATCACATCATGGCGCGTCCTGACCTCGAGAAACGCAATCGAAAGACTCCTGCCTCCAAGACGACAAGCAAAGTCGCAAAGCCCAGTGTTTCTCGCGTTACCAGAAGTGAGACACTACGTCGGGCAGCCATGTAACTACTTTTCCAGTCCTCCGCTATCTGCAATCAGCTGATGAGATGGTGTTCAGTGCTCAGCATAACAGTAACTCCCCTCTCCTTCGCCTACCAGCAGAAATCCGGAACCAGATCTACGACTACGTTATAGGAGGCCAGACTTACGTAGTTGATAAGACATATTGGGAATCACGGTACTGGCTCACCCGACAAGATGGTATTGGCTTCCTTTGGCGTCATCAGACAGCTCTCTCCCGAACTTGCCGCCAATTTCGCCACGATACAAGTGTGCTTCCCTTCCAGAAAAACAGCTTCACGGCCAACTATAACGACACTTCCTTAACCATGAACAGATGGATGTGTTCATTGCAGCCGTATCACGCAAGTGCCATACAGACCATATTGTGGGGATTCTTGCCACCACACAGCAACCTCGAGGCTCTGGAACTTCTCTTGGCTGAGTGGGTGGGAATCAAGAGGGCTGGGGTATATCGCTACAACTATTCAAGTCAGACCGCAACAACTCAAAAAGCTCTGGAGACTGCAGGTTTCGAGTTTGATGACAGAGGTGAAGATAGTATCTGGGGGTACACCTTAATGTGGTATGAGCGGTCTTGATCAGCTCATCAGTAAGTGACTATTACACAATTCTTTTGCTATATCGGCTGACGTGAATTTCCAGACATGTCGCGTTACCATGTCGCGCTTGCTGAACTCGGTCAAGAATATCGGCATGCTCTATTGGTGGGTTTTGGATTCTACCTATTGCTTGACCACCAGCAACGGACTCAAAGATTTTAGTACCTTCCTAGCTAAAGCGGTTCAATACTCCCAGTGGTTGGATAACCATGAATAATTTGCTTTGACCTTTTTCAGCTCTCATTTCCTTCTGCGCAGCAGCAAAAGTCTTTAAACGATTACTATACCGATAGCATATACGATATGAGAGACATTTAACTGCTTTCAAGAACATTGATTCTCATAATGATTACTTGTGTGATCTTCCTATCTTCCACACGATCTATCAACTTAGCCTCTACCCCAATGGCTCAATGGTAGTTATCCACAATGTCATAACCACGAGAAAACCGATCATCAACCCTTCGAAAGCCTCGAAGTGGCCCTTTGCTCTGCACTGACTTCGCTTTAAGCCACTTCTGCAGTATCACCATCAACCTCTCTTTATAGACTGCCTCAAGTCGTTCAAACGTCTGCCATTTATGCTCCCGCAGTAATTCCAGGTGAAGCAAGTCTGACCTACATCGCACGTGAGTAAAAATACGTTACTGGACTCTTTCTGTAAATCATAAACCACTCACCAGTATATCCCAACCTCTACATTCTTCCCCTGTATAGCGCTACCGATCTCCTCAAAGCACTCTCGCAAAGGTATATTTGTTTCGATACCACTCCATTCCCACTCTTTCATAGCTTTCATCTCCCCAGCCGTTGGTAGCGTTTTGGAGAATATCAAGTGATCGCGTGGTAGACATTCTACCACATGCAAGCCCAGGTCGAGATGGGTAAGCGCCGGGAATTTCGCCAGAAGATTCGACGCAAACCATAATTTAGACTGCTCCACCATACCGTTTCTTTCGTCGAACAAACGGATAGAGTACAACGGCAGCGAAAGCTTCCGTATAAGAGAAAGGTTATGTGCCCCAATCTTCAGCCAAAAGGTCGTGAGGAGACTCTGGTAGCCGTATTTCCCGTGTGCGGGTATGAGATTGAAGCAGTAGAAGCCGAAGAAGTAAGTGCGCACCTCTTGTGAGATTTGGCGGCTTGTCAACATGAGACTCCAGAGGATGGGCCGCGCGGATGATTGGAGTGCTTGAAAGGTGCGGCGGTAGCAAAGGCGGACACCGACCGAGAGTGAATCAGGGTCGCGTTTGTTGAAGAGGTATCGGTAAATTTGCTGTCGGACTTCTAGGGGAAGCTTTTCGAAAGAAGATTTTGCGTGTTGGGTCGGAGGGGATGGAACAGTAGGGTTTAGTTTTATCGCAGATAGGGTAGTCGTGATGCCGTCTAGTGTTGCGGATGAGGAAGACATGACTGAGAGATGTTGCCCGATGGCGCCACAGTATCTTGAATATGAATGTAGAGCGAGTTGAGGGATCAAGAAGGTAGAGCTTTGGTTGACTGCGTGTATTGTTGATGAAAGACTGCACCCGGGTAGATAAGTAGGCTAGGGGACTGCAAAGTCCAAACCGCGGTAGCTCGTAGCTCACCCAGTTAGATTCGCCACATGTACTCGCAGAGAAATGGCACCCCCATTCACTCGACCTGTCAGCGCTCCATAGCAAGTACTCTAGCTTATCGTTCTCTTCACCCGCTTGACAAGTCGCTACAGTCTTGCTGGCTTATCGAAAGCAAACAGCGACCTCCCCTTCTTCTCACCATCTTGCCAAACCCATCCGCTTTTACCCACAATCTCGACCGCACCACTAGCCATCTGTCGCAATGTACTTTCATCTCCATGGTTCGAGAGGAAACGTTTGTTGCTGCTCTTTAAGCGACCGATAATGTGACCTCGAAGCGGGCTGCCGTCTCGGTTGAACTCTACGGTGTAAGTTTCGACAACAGCCTCGCCCTCTGGGTCGAAAACGAGCTCGGGCGCGGGCACATCAGTAATTTGCGGCGGTAGAGGGTTCTCTGTCGGATAGTTTCCTTCTCTTCTAGGCTCTTTCGACAATATCACGACGTACTGATAGCTCAGAACGCCGCCATTGCAGAGCACCAGTCCTTTCTGGCCTTTGCCGTCTCTCAGCTGTCGCGTCATCTCAGTGAGCGCATGCATCGAGTAGTTATTACCAGCTCCACCAAACGATGTCAGACCACCAAGTATCGTCAATGGCTTTTGACGACCAACCACAGGTATTCCTAGATGCTGCGCCGCAATCTTAGGCACGATAGGGAAGCAGGAGTATATATCAACTATATCCATCTCTTCTTTGGTCGTACCAGATGTCTTCAAACTCGCATCGATAGAGCGCGATATACTGGGCGAAGAGTAGAAGTTCGGTCGTTTCCAGAACTCATCGTCGTCCTTCGTTCCCGCGCCGCCAAGCGGATAAACCCATTTCGACTCGGGAACACCTAACCTTTTGGCGAAGGAAGTCGATGTAAGGATGACTGCAGAGGCAAGATTAACCGTGTTGAAGGCGTTCATAAGCAGGGGATCTGCGCGTGTGATGTAAGCGTCCGTTCCTAATGCGGAAAAAGGTGAGACCAACAAGGATAGCATATCATCCTGTTCTTCTTCCCAATAGTCTTGATGTCCTCTTCACTACTTGCAGTTCCTTGACCCCATGCGTACTCATTATTCTTTGCGACGTCTGCAAATTCAGCATACAGCTTTGCACTCTCTTCGTGGTTTGCCTTCAGCGTCTGCCCGCGATGCGCACGGAACGCATTTTCGTAAAGTGGGTAGACATGTATTGGCGCACCAATCTTGTGAATAGCTCCGAGGTCTTTGCCAGAGTCAGTAGAAGAAAGGGTCTGCCAGAGAGAGGAAACCGCACTATTTCCTAGGTCGCGACCTGTTGGTGTGAAAACCGAATCTACGGCTTCGGACGGAGCTGTCCAGCCTGGTGGAGGAAGCTTCTTTGCAGCTGCACACGCGGATACTGGTACACTTAGCGATGAGTGGAGACGACGGAAAGGCATGCGGTACGCACACGAAGCTAATGCTTCACCTCCAGTTACAACCGCGACTTTGCATTCGCCTTTTGCAATCCTCTTAGCGGCCTCATCGAAGAGCTTTCCTGGTTTATCGCCTCCATGTTCGGAATATCTCTTCCATTTCAGACTCTGATCAACGCCCAGCTTCTCTGCCAAAAGCCCGGGTAGATCTGGATACGGCCAAGTCCACGTCTTGACGACATCGATGCTGTCGATTGATGACTGCAAATCGGTCTTCGAAAAAGATGCAGTGTCGCTGATGGCTTTCTGGATGGCTTCTAACATCAGTGTCGCGGGCTCCTTCGCATCCGCGATGGCCGTAGAGCGGTTCTTAATGTCGCCTACGCCAATGATCACGGGCGTATTGGTGGACATCATGTCGGGTTGAAAGATTAAGCGCAAGACGGGCGCAGTTTGATCTCTCGGTGTGAAATGCAGTTCTACTTATGTCACGTACTCCGTGATTGAAAGCATGGCTTCCATTGCATGCCGGAGAGTCATGGTTGACGTGAGGAGTCGGATTTGCCGAGGTACAAACGACGCGAACCACTGCCGCATGCGCTGCTCATGTCCTCGACGCGTCAGTTCCGGTCATCGCGATTGATGCATTATCTGCAACAGTCTTCCAGTCTCTCCATGCAGCGTATAACAATACGACAAAAGCCTGGCCCTCCGGATTGATACCGTCGAGCGGCGTCCGCTGACCCTCCTTCAGTGAGTTAACCACAGGTGCCGCAACACCAGTTTCCTCATCTAGATGGCAACTGACAGACTCCAACTTACGCGTCGCCCATCCTACATATCGTTCTCCGAATGTGCCAGGCTCGAGGACCGCCATCCTGAAGACCGTAGCTGCCATTAACGCCGTCCCAGCAACCTCTGCAAACCATGTCTCGTCATCGAGATAGTTGCGCAACAGGCCGGATGCATCGGTATCAGCCTCTATCACGCCGTCAAGAATGCCTTTGGTCATATCTAGTAGTATCTTCTGCTCATCAGCGGTTTCCGGTTCATGTTGAGATTTGCGCAATGTTGCTAGGACCCTAGTCATCCCAGCCGCAGCCCAGGCATTGCTCGTACACCACGCGCCGTCATCGCTCTTTACGCTGTCTGTGCTCTCGACATTGGCGATGTGTCGCCAATACCCTTTCGATGTGCCCAGCACCTCCCAGTATAGCTGGCACTGCCGTACACTCTCTTTCATCATATCTATGTCTGAGGTGAAGACACCGTCGTATGCAAGAGCAGGCGGCACCATGTAGATGAAGTCTGCCCACAAAGAAGGGTACTCATCGCGATGCGATATCGCGCCATTGCTGTATCTGGGCGTGGTGGAGAGCAGGTCGTGCAGCTGGCGATTTACAGCGGAGAGGTAAGGATTGTCAGGCGCTTGCGAGGTTGTTGATTTGTAGAGCAACAAGGCCGGAATGCAGAGAGATGTCGGATCGGACGACGAACCTAGTTACTGCCTTTAGCATGCGTTGGATGAAATTTGAGAGAAGAGAGCTTACCGTTACCTTCGCACAGTCTCGCCCTGTTCGTCTGTATGAATGGTTTCACATATCGCAACGCCTCTACATCCTCTATCGTCAACTCTGGTATCTCGCCCCCGGGAAATGGGTCATGAAAGATGCTATAATGAGGATCTCTGTACTCGAGTAGCGCTTCAAACACGGTGCCGTACTCCCAGCTATGTGATGCAGTTTCCTGCGCTTTGGAGAGAACTTTGTCCATCACAACCTGCGGAATCATATCGCGAACTTCCCGATTGATGCTTTATATTGGTTTCTAGGGTCGACGGGGATTGTAGCTTCGAAGCGCGTGCATACACGTCTGCGGTATGACGTTCGCGACGCGCATATGGTGTCATCTCCGCGCCTTCGCTTCCTGCCGCGGGCAGGTGCAGAAAGCTTGGTGAGGGGTTATTGTTCCTTCCAAGCACCCTCGAAGCTTGACCTAACAGCCTGCAGCAAAGCAGCGCAGCGCTAAAGCAAACTATGCTCTCTACTCTTGCTGCACAGCCTGTATAACGCCCTTACTAACGCTATAGACTTTCTACTTTGTACTGCTAAGCTAACTTTAAGTTATAGCATAGTTATGTGCAATTTATAATACTTAGCTACTTACTCTACGCGTTGCTTATTTTATACTATTATAATATATTAATAATATAATACTTTATAAATGCACATTTATAACTCTATTATACTGCCTATATCTCTATATTAATATATATACTATTAAAATGCTGTAGTTATATAATTAAAATAAGCTAAAGGCTCTAAATAAGACATAACGTAAGGCTCTTAAAATCTAATACTATAATAGTGTCTTTAAGCGCCTACTAGCAGATATTTATCTTCTAGCTAACACTAGTCTCTTACTTTAACTTAATACTAAATTTATATTAATAATATTCTATAGCTATATACGTCTACTACGCATTTATTATAATCTCTATAATAGTAGTCTTCTTAAACTAGAAAACTATTAGCTTTCTTAAGAAGATATAAAAGAATTACGTACTTATAAAGTTAGTAAAATATTAATAGTAATACTATAATATATTAAGATTATATTAGCATTACTCTATTTAAGAGCCTCTATTACTGCGTTTAATATACTCTAGTTAACTAAATAGTTACTAACGCGCTAACCTATAAAGTTGTATAATATACGCTAAACGCCTTTAGCATATTAACTATTATAATAAGTACTCTAGTATAGCTATAAATAGCTTTGCTTATGTTATTAATATTACTAGAAAGACTAGAGATTAAGTAATAGCTCTCTTTACTATACGTATATACATCTACTAGCTATATAAACTAAGCTTACCTAGTAAAGTATATTTAATATAGTATATATAGAGCTAGTAGAACTATATCTAATACGTACTGCAACTACCTAGAGACTTAAGTTAATATTTACTAATTTAACTACTTGTTTATAAAGCACTATAAGTATCTAGTACCTAAGCTTAGAGACCTTTACTACTCTAAGATAATAGAAGATTTATAAAAGAAGATAATATTCTACTATATTATAGTTAAGAATAAGAACCTAGATTCTATAATATCTAAAGCTAATTTGTAAGTAGATCTTATAAAGTGTAGCTACTCTATTATTAATATATTATAGTCTTTATATTACTTAGAAAAGACTACTTAAGTAGAAAAAGCTCTATATAAGACAAACACTAGACTACTATATTACTATTTAAGAAGAGAAAACTAATAGACTAGATTACTCTCTACGTAAATATATATACTATAGCTACGTAATAAAGGCTTAAGAGAGTGCTTGCTATTATAAGGTTAAGATTCTTAACACTATATTAGGCGTTAATATTCTATACTTTATTAAACTTATTAGCGCTTAAGCTTCTATTAAGTCTAGTGTATATAGTGTTATTAAGAACGTTTATAGTAGTAAGAAGAGATTATATAGTAAGACATTCTATAACTACTAGTAAATATTTTACTAAAGGCGTTAGGCGTTAATTATCTATAAGAAAAAGGTAAAATAATTTATTTAAATAATAATAAAGCTACAAAATACTCTTATATCTTCTAGTTTATTATACTTCTTAACGTTACTATCTACCTCTAAGTTATTATTATAGCTAAAGGCATTTATAACTATGCGCCTCTGCCTTCTAAATAACTACCTTCTACCTATATAGAGTAACTTATCGCTGTTATAATTATAGTAATAACACTCTTAATAACCTATAGTATAGACGCCTTAGCTAATAACTAAATTATTATTAATATATTATCTAGTATAGTTCTAATAATTGTTGTAACTTTGTAAACTTCTTAAAGAGTATAGAGTAAAGATACTTAGCAAATTATATATAGTATTTACTAATACTAATCGCCTTGCGCGCTACTTCTGCATAGCTAAGTATATAGTAAATCTAATAGGTAATAGTTTATAGAGACTATAGTAGAAGTTTAACTAGTATTATAAGACAAAACTAGATATAAGCACGCTAGTATAGTTATATAGTTAACTAACTCTACTAATACTATAGTAGCGCTATATTTAAACTATTAAAGCTAAAGAAGATAACTACTCTATAATTTACTTCTTTAAAGAATAAGTAGATAACTTTCTTCTTTAATTTTTATTTAAAGTAGACATATTCTTTAAGCGCGTACACAACTCTAATATAAATAAAGTTATCTTTACCTATTATTATCTATAGTAGCGTAAAGTTATAATATCTAGTTAGATTATTATATTATATAATTTAACTAAAGAATACTATAAGTGTTTTTATTAGTTTTTCTAAGCTGTGTAGAATTGCACTAGACGTGTACTACGCTAGCGCTATCTCTATAAGCAAAGAGCTATAGCTTTCTAGACTATAGTTACTAATATAGATAGTAAGTAAATAGCAGGTATATAGTAAAGCTACTACTATCTAATACTGTACTAATATATTGCGCAAGGTCTTAGAGCGTATCTATTAGATATTAACCTAAAGTATTATATTTAGTAATAGTAGCTAAAGTAGGTTATAATATTTTATAGCGTTTACTTTGCCTATAGTATTAAGAGAGTATTATATTCTATTTAAGATAAAAAGATAAGAGAAAAAGCGCGTGTATTAATATTTAGCCTATATATAGTTAAAAGTAAAGAGAAATACAAATCTATATATTGCGCACTAATAAGTTAGTATATTAATTTCTAAACTCGCACCTATTAACTAAGTTATAGACTCTAGTAAATCTACTCTTTTCTTTTAGGCTAGGCATAAATTAATTCTAGTTATTACATCTAGCCTTAATCTATATATGTCTAACATTAACGTGTATATCTTCTAGACTACCTATTAATATAGTAATATAGTAGAATAAGTAGCTAATAAAGGCTATATATTTAGTAGTACTAGATAGAATATTATATTAGCGATATATAAGTATATACGTTTTCTTAATAGTATAAGTATTTTATTAACCTTACTAGTGCTATAGAGCTTAACTATCGCAATCTTACCTAGAGATAGAACTACTTTACTACTAGTATTCTATATCTTAAATAGAACACATTATAATTCTTAAGTATATATAGTTTTAAGTCTAGAAAGAGTAAGTGTTACTTAAAGAAAATATTAGTAGCTAATATATTACTAACTTACTGCCTAGTGCGCTAGTAGCGTAGACGTAACGTAGAACTCTTAGTTAATAGTTATCTTAACGCTGTAACTAACAATAAAATTCTTATAGTAGCTAACTCTAGTAGTAGTTCTAACTACTATAGAAGAAGATATATAGCTACTATTTATTAACGCAGTGCTAGAGGTATTCTACAATTTCTACCTATATAGTTATTAGTTTAATTAGAGTTACTACTAAAGCAGTAATAGATAGAGGCTAAGACTCTAGCGCTAGTCTAACTAGGCTTATAATATATTGCATCTCTTAGCCTTCTAACGCTGCAATTAAGATCTAGTTCTATAGTAGTTATTAACTTTACAACACTAATACGCCTATACGTTTAATATTTTATATTATAAAAACCTAGCTAATTACTCTATAGATTTACCTGTTAATAGCTTACTAAGTAATTACTATAACTAGACTCTAGTTCTAATAACTCTATTAGAGACAGCTAATATTGCAGTTCTATTACTATAAATATTAATAACTTCTCTAAACCTAAAATTAATAAGCTAGATCTTATAAGCCTAACACTAAGGTAAGCCTTACTACGTAATATATTAGTACTAAGCTAACGCGCCTTTTAGACTAACGCGTCTACTTATAGTACTACTCTCTAACGCGCTAGTATTTAAGAACCTTAGTAGTAATATTCTACTATCTACCTCTTGCGTACTACTTCTATTAGATTTATCTAACGTTTCTCTACTCTATACGCAGAGTTTACTATCTTAGTTATCTAGCTCTCTACTAAAGCGTAGACACTATAACATACTTAATAAGTTTTAATTATTACTCTCTAAATAGTTAGACTACTTCTCTATAATAAGCTCTGCGCTACTAGTTACATAGTTAGATTAGTTAAGTAGATTATTATTACTAAGCGTTGCTTACTAAGAGCGCAGAATAGCTACGCAGAATTAGAGTCTAATAACTTCTAGCGCTTTGTATATTACTTAACTTTATGTATATATTATATATTACTAATCTACTAGTAATCTATCTCTACCTGCCTAAACTATTACTTCTAGAAATAGTAGTTTTATACTAACTACTCTTAGTTAAGTGTTTAAGACTAATTCTACTAAGACTATAAACGCGTTAGAGTTCTAGTAACAGAAGTTATAGAAGCTTAAAAGACAGCTTATTCTTCTTTTATATTAGATTAATTTATATAAGAAGTAGCTTAAGCTTACTAGCCTTAATTCTACTTTTAGTAATAGCTCTAGCTAAAGTGTTTATCTAAATATATCTTATAATATATTACTATAAGCTTATAGAACCTTGCGTATATAATCTTATAATATATTATTAAACTTATATTAATGCCTCTCTTTGCCTAGGCGCCTAGTACTAATTATTGCTAAGACTTATAATTCTCTAACAATACTACCTAATATTACTACGTTTACATTAAAAGTGTATTATATAATAACCTTAGTCTAAACTATATAATAATTATTATATTAGTATTTGTTATTGTAAATAATTATAGATAGAGTAATACTATACCTTTAGTCTACATTATATAGTGTTAGTGTAGCTTAGACGTTATTATAAAACACTAATATTTCTTAT